GGACTTAGCAGCAACACCAGACAGAGAGATGTGAAACAAATAATAAATAAAACATATGTGCAAAGAAAAACTACACATTTTCCTGGGGTGCTCATAGTACTCAGACTTTTAGGAAAATGTATACATCTTAAGTAAATCACTTATGCCCCTATGTTCCATAAGTAAAATAATTTCACACTTTTTTCCCTAATCATTGGGATGATAAAGCTGTACTTCCAATTACAGTTTTCTTAAAAAGTAAATCCCCAGTAATATTGTGAAACATCTTTTATGCTGAGATTGAAAACACAATGTGCATTGTACCCAGAAATATTCTCCATTCAATCCCAGTAATTTATGCAGTTAAACAACTTTCCTAATACAACAATGGCCGTAACACTTTTGCTTAAAATGCTCTTTGAAATGCAGTTGAAACTAAACAAGTCAGGCAATCTATAGGCATCACAGAATAATGAGTTTCCCAAGCTGTGTAAGGCAGCAACTAGCTTGAATAATGAAAAGATGATGGTGTAAAGAAAAACTACTATTATAATATTTAGGTAAACATATTCTTACTATTTACTATTTTTTAACAGAGTTTTAAAACCAATTTTTAATAAAATTCTTTATTATTTTGTTTGCTTTTGATTTTCCATACCAAATTGAAAAAATACAATGGATGAATTTTCCTCAGCTAATATTTTTTCCTGAAAAACTGAAATAATTTTTTTTATTTAAAAGATCATGATTGAAATTTAAAAGACTGTGCCTTGAATGAATGTATTTTTTCTTATTCTGAAGATGATATTAGAACAAATATAGCAAGAAAAATTATAACAGAAGTCAGAATGAAAAAGTAATAAAATTTGTTTCTTTTTTGAAAAACTGACTAAAATTGTTTGTGTATTTTGACGTATTTATTTCAGTTATGTTATGGTTAAAATTATTTTGTGACAATCATGCTCAATTTGTAAAGAAAAAGTAATTTAAAAATAAATTTGTCTTTTGTTATTCATTTTTTTAAAGCTTAAGTTAATTTTTGTCCCCCTACATGAAAAATGGTTTTAATAATTTCTCATGTGCTTTATCTTTGGTCAACAGCTCTAGTGTTTTCACTGTTTTTTCTCACTGAAGTGTGCTCAAAGTGCATGAAGGTATCTCTGCAATGTTGTTTACAGAAAACATATCCAATTGATATTACAGCACAGAATCACAGAATGGTTTGGGTTGGAAGGGACCTTAAAGATCATCTAGTGCCAACCACCTGCCACGGGCAGGAACACCTCCCACCAGGCCAGGTTGCTCAAAGCCGTGTCTAACTTAGCCTTGAACAGTCAGGGATGGGGCGGCCACAACTTCTCCGGGCAACCTGTTCCAGTGCCTCACCAGTCTCACAGTAAAGAACTTCTTAATATCTAACCTAAATGCACCCTTTTTCAGTTTAAAGCCATTCCCCCTTGTCCTATTATTACATGCCCTTCTAAAAAGTCCCTCACCAGCTTTCTTGTAGGCCCCCTTTAGGTACTGGAAGGTGTACATTTTCATACACTGTTTAAAAAGTATTTTATATGTTTTAAGCTGGCAATACTCTTCTAAGTAATATTGACTCCAAAGAGCACTCAGGATTTCATTTTGCAAGTATAACTGTAGTTTTCTCAGAGTATTAATTTTTAAAATGATACTGCCTCTGAAAATTTATTGAGCCCAGAGCATTCCTTCAGGGACTTTTATTTTTATTGAGTGACAAAATTAAATCAAAAGTTATTTCTTGCAGCCCAAAGCAAAGATGGCTTTACTTTTCTTAATTACCCTGTTTAATAATTCAGGACAAAGTGAAGTGCTTAGCTAGGGATTGTCACAGAACTGCAGTGCCTCCAGAAGAGACTGCAAGGTGATTTAGCTTGGGTTTGCCTCTGCTTTATTCCCTTCCCTGGTTTTATTCCTCGGCTGTACCTCTAGGTAGACTGAAGGAACAATGTCTCAAGCAAGAGAGCCTTGTGTAAGAAACAATGGAGAAGCCAAGAAAAAAAAAAGTCAATGGAGAAAGAGAACTGGAAATCAAGATCATAATGGGTTGCCATTTTCTAGCTCCTTTTTGATCTCTGTTAAATCCTTTGAGATGCATCTAAAACTGTGATTAGGATCAATTAGGACTAAAAAAAAAAAAATAAAATAATCTTTTAAAGCCTAAAGATTTTCCCTCCATTTTTGGAGGATGCCAATTCTCGGAGAAAGGGTTCTTGGAACTGAAACTTGCTGGAAAAGCTTCTCAGATCTAGGCTTGCATTTCTCTTAAAGACAAGAGACAAAAGCACAGCAGCTCACTCATGAAGGCATTCCTTATGTCTGGGGAACCTGTTAGAAATACAGATGCTCTGCAGGCACATTTGTGTGTCCAGTGTTGCTGGATAGGCTGTTTTTCCTATGAGCAAGCATGTCTGTTGGAGGAGAGGAGACATCAGCATAGATTTCTGGGTATATGCCAAACACAACTTGATTTAGCTTTTCATATACATCCCTACAGAGCTTATAAAAAAAGTTGATCCCTTTCCTCATAGATCTGTACCAATAAACAATTCCAAGAGGTTTCTGCTCCAAGAAAAAGTAAAATCAATGCAAACTCTAATAACAACATGAGGAAAACAGCATCGGGGACAGAAGCTGGTCCACTGAAATTTAAAGTGTCTGGAGCCGTTATTCCAACTCTGACATGCAAAACCATACAGCACCACCTTGTGAGCATCTCCTAAAAATACTCTTAAAGAGACTTAGAGGTATAGTTGGGAGCACACTGATCAGACCTAGGGCACAAGTAGCAAAATGAGCAAGGACTCTGAAGCTTGGATTCAAAACACAGAGTGTGTATAGAATCAGCTTAAAAAAGTTCAGTCAAAAAAAACAAACAAACAAAACAAAACACCAAAAAAAATAGGTGGTATTCTAAAATAATTCAGGAATTAATGAAGACCAGAAAAAAATCACTTCTATGTATATTGAATAAGCAAACAAATACTGTGAGTGTTACTGAAGTCCTTCACCATACAGATTACCAGCAGTTCTTCTCAATAATAACTGTATCTTCAAAACTGCCGTATTTCTGACCTCACAGGTTTTTGCACTGTTTCTTTACAGCCTGTCTGACAGAGGAGGTATTAGCAATGTTTTTTTACAAGGGCAAAGCACTTGAATACTCCTTATATCCCCAGAAATAATATGTATCATATAGCCTAGAATGACATTTGCCTCCCCCCACCATGTGCCTCCGTCTGCATTTTGGAAATGACTACCATACATAGTTAATTCCTCAAGTGACTGTCCTCCAGCATCTTACTTTCATTTTAGCAAAACCTATGGTTTTGTCTCCTTTGACCCTTTGTCCAAGTACTTGTACTTCTTCCCATCTTCCATAAACTACTAAGTTTTCATAGTCACACCAACTCCTTTACTGAACTCTGCATGAATCACACTGTCTCAATTCATTTGCCTGGATAATTTGGTTTTTTGAAACACAGGAAAGATAAACAGGCTCCCGATCATGAACTCATGTTCCTTTTCACTCTGTTCTCTGTGCCTTTAAAATAAAATTATAGACATAAGGGTAATTAATCTTTGTGTGCCACTGAGGTCAGACTAAAATGCCAGCAGATGCCCAGAAAGTGCATCAATAATATTGTCTCCTGATGCAGCACACCTTGGAGCAAGGGATGTATTTAGATGCGCTAGGGTCTAGAGGGTGCTGTTGCACTGAGCATCTAACCGCGGTTTTCATACAGCTTTGAAATCAGGCCATGTCCATGCTTTTTCTGGGTCCTATAGCTGAAACTCAGGATATTTACTGCCATTTGTTAACAAATCCAAATACTATTAGAGAAGTATAACTCACTTTCAGTCTTGTAAAAGGGAAGATGAGCTGATGGCAGCTTCATGGCCTTAATAGCAATCCAATTTCTATTTTATAAGCCCGCAAGTAGAACATTCATTTCACTGTCTGCTAGCAGCTGTAAGTTTTAAGCATCATGGGAATTATAAGATCAAGTCTTGTTGTAACAGTCTAGCACTTTTTTGTTGGTCTCATTTTTTATAATCATGAAGCATAAAGAACAAAGTTTGGCATTTTCTGCTTCTCTTACAGGAGCCAATATTATTAATGCTACCCTCAAAGCAGGAAAAGGTGGCAGAGGAAAGTAGTCTGGTTCATAGATGGATGACAAGAAAGAAAGAAACAATTAAAAAAATATTCTTCAATACGTATTTTGCCCTAAATTTTCAAGAAGTAAGTTACTATTTTCATGCTGTCTTGCTCAGGTTTCTGATATAAAATCATAGAATCATAGAATGGTTAGGGTTGGAAAGGACCTTAAGATCATCTAGTTCCAACCTCCTTACCATGCACAGGGATGCCTCACTCTAGACGGTGTCAACCAAGACTGTGTCCAACCTGGCCTTGAACACTGCCAGCGATGGAGCATTCACAACTTCCTTGGGCAACCCATTCCAGTGCCTCACCACCCCCACAGTTTATTTCTTCTAGAAATATATATATAAGCAAAAAGCTTTCTTCTGTTTCTTTCTACCAGTTCTGGGTGGAAGATGGCTTGTAAAGCAGAAGAAATATATATGCTGTAAATCCATGCTGTGCAATATATAGAAGACCCAGGTCTTGGAAGATTTTTTTTTTCTGGAAGGAGATAAGAAGGAGGACGAATAGGTTCCCCTTTCTTCTCCACCTCCCTGCCCAAATAAGATGGTTCTGAAGAAGCATTTGAAATACACAGCTGGTATATCTTAGAGGCTTAAACCAGGTAGTAAGTTAAAAACTCATTTGAAACTGTATCCTTCCCTCCTCTCCCCCTCTAATAATTCATCTAGCTTTATGACAGCAAGGTTAGAACAGCTGTTATCTGTACATTAAACTGACAAGGCTGAAAATCCATCTCTCACACTATTAATGGATTTACATTTGTTTTTATTGAAGAACAAAAGATTCTGTCTCATATATAAACATTTTCTTGTGATTTTTTTGTTTTTTTCTTTGTGTTTTGTTGTTATGTTTGGTGGTTTTTTCTTAAAAGGTGTTCACATCCCCAGAGTCATGAAAGCTTATGCTGCTTTTACATGATGTTTTACAAATTTTAGCTTATTATATTTTGATACTGAAGATTTGCAGGACATACATGAATTCAAAAGAGAAAGGTGAAGACTCTGCACTGCAGTGCTCACAGGTCTTCTCTTTGGAGCCCATAGTGCAGCAATGAGGGACTGAGAACATTCTGGCTACATAAATTGTCACACAAGTGTGCTATGCTGAATTGCTTTCTTGGTAGAGATTTTTGCCATGAAGACATGATAGCATCTGTGTGTTGTTTTCTTAAGAAATGGTAGATGAATGCTAAATGACAAACAGAACAAAAACATTTTTTTTTAAGTGTCAGTTTCATGTTCTTCTCAGTACTGGTCTAGATATATAGGAATAAAAGAGCCCTGTCTGACTGATGGTAAGAAACATGAAGTATGTGAATCTACTACAGTAGTCATTGAGGGACCTCAACAACCATTGTTTTCACATTTATATGAAGGTGAACATGATAACAGCTTGCTTACTCGCTGCGTAATTTGGTCTGAAAAGAACAGAGATTATTTTTTCACACACTTTTCAGTAGGCTCGTACTTCAAGCACAGAGCATTTTATGCTCATTTATTTGTATCCCCTATTAAATGTGGTAATTTAAAGAAAGAAGCTTTGTGGAACATGAACTTTGCCTGTTTGAGTATTCAGCCCCTTTCATCACACATACCTTGATGATGACAGAAATCCTCTGCAAACCATGCTGTACAAAAATGAGTCGATACAAGAGATTCAGTTCACTGAATTCAGGACCAGCACAGTCATAATATAAATACGGTGCCTAAATTAGTACAAATACAACGTCTAAACTTAAAAAACAAATATTTTAACATGTTAAAAAATAAATTATTCCAACAACATGCTCAGCTTGGTAAAAAAATCCAAAGACAACTCTAGATTCAGCACTGAATTCAGAAAGACAGCAATTTCCATTATGACTTTCTGAAGTATACATTTTGATGTCTGATTGCTGGGAATAGGGGAAGGTGAAAGATGACTCAGCTCTAGAGAGCTAGTTTATTAGAAGTTTATATGGGGACAGCTGAAATGATAAGCTACAAGATCAGAAAACTGAGGTTTGCCCATCAAGGCAAAGGACCAGTTTTCCACATAAAGGAAGAACACAAATGGCTGTACAGACAGCAACTCAGTAATAATTTGTTACTGAGGAGCCATACACTGTTCAACATACCAAGACTAGCTTTTATGAGCTTTTTGGGATGCTTTAATTGCAATAAGATGACTTACTAGCACCTATGCATTCTCATCTAAAACAAATCAGAAACAAAGCTCAGGCTAATATAAGGTGCTCTGAAGTTCAGCTGAAGACTTCTAATCATGACCGAGCTATGCTACCCTGCAGTTCTTCTTTTGACAGAACTGTAAGTTCCATTTATAAACACCTCTTTTCACTGATGCATAACTTCACCACAGACAATTCTCCAAGAGCAAGTCAATCCAACTGGTATATTTTTCCAGAGCTCAGCCTGACCCATGCTGGTGACTCTGCCTTTACGGTGAGATAGGCCTGCTTCATGTGTCTGAGTTGTGACAACAGCCAGCCTTGCTTAACATTCTCTCCCAGTTCCAAGAAGTCTTCACAGACTGTCAACATCCCCCTAACCTTTTAGTTGCTCACTGTTTTTTGACCTTGGCTTTGGTGAATAACCAGGTTTGCAATGATGTGTCTGACATCCTATTTTGTTTGAAGTGGTGGATCTTGCCAGAACTTTGACTTTCCATTGAATTTATTTAGCACATTTTGATTGATCTAACTGCATTTCACAGTCTACAATAAAATCGCAGTTCTGTCGTGGTTTAAACCTAGCCAGACAGCTTGTTCACTCACTCCCAGTGAGTGGTGCCGGGCTGGAAGCAATTGAGGCCCCTGTTCCCCCCCTGGGGGCTCTCACCTTCCCCGCTCCCAGAGGCATGAGGGAGGAGAATTGAAAGAATGCAACTCCCACGGGTTGAGAGAAGAACAGTCCAGCAATCAATGTACAACACAAATCGCCACCGCTACCACCACCGACAACAATGGTAAGAGAAAATAACAAGGGAAGAGAATACAATGCCACTCACCAAAAAACGAGTCCAACCCAGAAGACCCCATGTCCTTCCGGGTAACTCCCAGTTACCTCCCCCACTCTGCCCTGGGCATGACGTGCTGTGGTATGGAATACTTCTTTGGCTTGTTTGGGTGAGGTGTCCTGTCTCTGCTTCCTCCCGGCTTCCCCTCCTCCCTGACAGAGCATGAGGCTCACAAAGTCCTTGGTCAGGGTAAACATTACTTAGCAACAACTGAAAACATTGGTGTTATCCATGCTGTTCCCAGGCTGAAAGTCAAAACACAGCACTGCACCAGCTACCAAGAAGGAGAAAAATTGACTGCTACTGCTGAACACAGGACAAGTTCCCCAGAACTTGTATCTGTGGTATAAGCAGTTTCCTTTCATGGTTTTAACTCCTACTTTATTTCATATGTTTTTACATATTTATGCCAGCTATAGGTGTAGAACGAAATCAAAGCATGCATATAGTTATGACCTGTGGTAAAATATTTTAAGCTACTGATAGAGAAACCTATAAAGAAGGAATGCCAAAAGGCACCACACAAGTGGAATTTCCCTTCTCCCTGACTCCGACACTCTGGGATTTGATAAAGAGATACTGTGGATTTCACTGTCCATGAGAAACCACAAAGATAGGATATCTGGAACAATGTTTATAGAGAGTTTTGCTGTGGTATTACATTGCTATAGTAACAAAACAGATACAGACCTAATTTGAAGCACATTTTTTTGTTCCGAGAAAACTTTCCCATCTTCTGCCTGTCTTCCTAACTCCCTGAAATTTATTATATAGTGCATCTGACCAAACAGAATTCCACTAACTCAAAGAAACCTTTCAATATTAGTGTATGAAATTGAAATGGGAGATTATATTCAGTCACTAGACTTCAAGAATGAGGTACAAAATGAAATGATGACTTCAATACATGAGGATACACACTGCACTTCAGAGGATGCCCATCTAGCACACAAAACAATTGCCACAATGCTGAAGCTAAAACATTTGCTACTGTAAAACACAAGTATTTCCAACAATGAAGGTGGATAAACATGAGAACAGATTATGGCAAGAGCCTTACCATTACTCAAAATCTTTTTATGTATACTGAATACCTTTGTAAGACATAGGCTGTAGTGCAGTGTCAAGGTAGTAATCTTAAAACTGAAATTTTATGCTGGTTCTACTAGAGCAAGAGACTCAATAGGAGATAGGTAAAAGTCAAGTAGGCTGTCTGATTTTCTGAAACATTTCATATTTTACCAACTGTAACAGAAAAGGGCTTGTGATGCCTGCTTAGAAGTAGTAGACTGTTTCCTCAGCCCTCACTAACCTCAGCAGCAGAAGGAAGAGTTTGAGACCAGTGTCCTACCAAAATGGAAGGCAACATATTTTATTTAAAAAAAAAACCAAAACAACAACAACAACAAAAAAAAACAAAATCCCAGAGAGAACTCCAAACCCACCAAACCCCCTAAAAATGCCCAACAAAAAAAACAACCAAACAAAAAAATCCCCCCCTCCAACTACCTTTCTCTGAGAGAGCATCACTGTGAGCTGAATAGATTGCTTCCCAGTACAGATGGCTATGTCTGCTGCTCCCTCTCCCAACACCTGCAGTTCACTTGACAGAGCATACATATTCCATACAGAAGTAATCCCAGGAATGTTCTTAGCATGTGGCATGTGAATTTTCTTAGCCTAAGGATGGCATGTGAATTTTTGCAGCTGTAAAATGAGATACTTTTGTTTCCCCTCATTTAAGGGCAGCTCAAAGGCACCCAGAAATAATCCTCAGAGTTAAGTATCTTCCAGTAGCTCTAAGCATTCTTTAACCATATATGCCTTATCTGGACAGGCAAGCCAAGTAAACATAATTCCCCAGATTAAACCCTTTAGTGATTTTTATTCTGGGTGCAGAAGATGGTTTGGATAAAAGGAAGAGGAGAGATACCAAAGGACAAAAAAAAAAAAAAAAAAAGGAACAGGAAGGCAAGGATAAGAGGAGAGAAGAGCAGACAACCTATGCATAGAAAAAAGATAGTCCAGACTTCAAAACTGGTTATCTCCAGCTACAAACACCAGTTTAAATGAGGATAGCTCTATCATTCAAAACTCCTCATCTTCCTTCCTAGCAATTCTGTGTGGGAAGAGACAGTTTGTTAGGGAGTGGGGGGGGTTTAGTGTGCTGGTGGTGTCCTGATACAACCTTCTTGAGCAACTCCTTGTGAGCCTGGGTTACCATACAACTGATGGCAGTAACCCAGGCAGGTCCCTGCCTGTGGGAAGGAGAAAACTGGTGGGAGCTTCTGCAGGCATGGTCACAATGTCACCCTGGGACCACCTGCTTGTCTCAGCCCAGGCTCCTCTGGCAGCAGAAACAGTGGGATCCCTGGCTAACTGCTGCCACTCTTTCTGAATGCTTCCCTCGAAGCCTGTCTATGCAGGTTTCTCTGGGGCTTGTGGTTTACAGTCCCAGTGGTCAGTATGACAGCTTGGGGAGAGTGAATTCAAGCAAAGGCAGCAGTTGTAGGTAATTTGTCATGCATAGAAAGAAAGCAGGGCAGGCAAAGCAGATGTCAGCTCCCACTTCCAAAACACCTATCCTTATTTGCCTTCTTTACACAAGATGCTTCTGCTGTTTGGAGCAGCCATGACAACTTTCATATCTTTTCTGGATAGCTGCAACAACAGCAACTGTCTGTGAAGGTCTGGAGAAGGGCCTATGCTACACATGGAGTTCCTCAAGACACTAGAACACAGTTTCTGAGAAAAGGCAGAATTTTCTAATATTTTTTCTAGAATTTCATATGAGTTTACTTACTCCTGCTGATTTTCCACAGACTGATGGGATATCATCTCCATCTTGCTTCTACAGAGAATCAAAGCGGTGTCAACACATTGAAGCTTTCTCTTTATAACTTCGTCAGTCAGTCTTAGAAGCACTAGATCACCTGGTTTTGATAGCTCATCAGATGCAGCCATCTGCAGTTTGCAAGATAAGACCTGCTAAGAAAGAAGAGGAAGGGATGAGAAATATAATGAACCTCATGGTGCATTTAAATTGTCTCTCTCCCCACATTTGTATCAGGGCATCCTCTACTGCCATTTTCCATCTAGTACTGAAGTAGCAATAAATGGAATGGTCTCAGCTACCAACCAGCAAGAAGGACCCTGTTTTGCTATTGCCTGATAATTTTTAAACAGTCTAAATCTGTTACACACATAAATAGGCTGTCACTGCCACACACTTGCAGAGCAAGCTGTAATCACTTGAGTTGCTGGGAGTTCTGCAGGTTGTCTGCCTCCACCCCTTTCTTGGGTTGCACTTGCTTCTTCCTATAAGATTCAGAGCAAACAAACTAAGCCCTGCAAAGATTGTTGATGAGAGAACAAAAAACATTTACTATATTGTACATTCTTTGGGGCTGTCTGGTTCTTTACTGCAAAGAGCTCATTTTGAGAAAAGTCAGGCCCTGCCTCCTACCCTCCAAGAAGAGTGCCCAAGGAAACCCAGAGATATCAAATGGCAGCCTGCAGTGTTTCTGCTGTAAACAGACTTCACTTTCTTATATGCATTACTATAGTGTGTGCTAGAATAAGCAACTAGAATTCTTCTCAGAAAAGCATCCTTCATATCACCTTGTCTTCAGGTATGCCCCTTTCTTAGAAATAATGCTGATAAATCCCATCTAATTCAATCCAGTTAAATTTTTAAGCGTGCGTCTGCACCCAAAAAACTTCCATTGTTTTTATGCTATATTAGCGGGTAAACTAGAGAAATTATCTTGTCACCCTATGAATTTAACTTCCTGGCTGCAAGAAAACCCCTACTACACTTATATGCACAAACAAGCAGAAAGTGAGCTTGGCATATATGAGGCTGTCTAGTTCACCAGTACTGATCTCAGAAGACATGTCAGCTGGCCACTCTCATTATAGTCATTAGAAAGGCAGGTACTGGTTGTGCTCAGTAGGAAGCATAGAGCAGCACACAGATAGTTATGGAAATTAAACACTCTGCCAAAGGCTTCAGCCTGCTGTCAGCTCTGGCAAGACTAAGCATAAGCATAATTAGATTTTCAGTGTCACAGCCTAGTTAGCTCTCAAGCTACACCTTCTCAAGCAGAAGGAGCATCTGATTGTAACTGTGTCAGCACCCAGCAGGGTGTGAAGTGCAGCACTGCATTTTAAGGATCAAGTAGAGCAAGGGATAGATATGCCTTTCACATATGGCACTGAATGCTCAAAACGTCTTTCTGATGTGATGGAGAATTATCTTCAACAGAATTAACTCCCATGGTTTATGAAGGGAAATTTGCCCGTGTTTATTGGCAAACTTTTTATGGGGCTTCAAAGTCTCTGGTAAAGTCAGAGGAACAGGAGGCATGCATTTTCCTCAGTCACAGATTATTCCTCCCTGTAGACCTAATTTCACAACTGGATTGCCCCTCCAGGTCGCCGCCAGGGTGCAGGCTGCTTCCCTTAGGTGCCCTGCAGCTCAGGATGTGGCTTGCTTATTCTTCAGCTTGTCACAGGAGATGCAGTCCAGTGGGGAGACAGCTGTATTGCCAGCTTCTCTCTGAAAAGGTGTTTGCTCATTAGCAGAGGGGCTTTACCCGCACTCCAGCTCTCCCTTTGCATAAGCTTGGCTTCTTTCAACCAGAACTGAATGGAGAAAAGGAGCGTGCAATGCTGTCAGCCTCTCCTGTCGGTCTCCAACTCATTAAAGCTGTGCTATCCAGTATATTTCATTATAGCATTCGTCTGAAAATGATTTTATTTTTGTCCCTGACATGAAGCTGACACTACAGTTCTCATATGAATGGAACAGGATGCCAATTTCTTCTCTTTAGAAATGTTACAAAAGCCTCTATTACTTTCATATCATGGATAGATTAGTACAGGCTTTTAAACCATTTTCATTAGATTCTGCATTGTTAAAACCAAAGAACTGGTAAACCATTTTCCAAAGTATTTGAACAGCTAGTTTTTATTAAGATAAGGAAATGGGACACAACAGGGCATTCTTGCCATTTGCATCTGAGTACACATAATTAGAAGCAAGATTTATTGTATGTCCTAAAAATGTAGAAATGCATTGATTAAAGAACTTCATGAAGCCTGAGATTTACTTGCCTTAGACCTTTGACATCAAAACATATTGTAAAACATGCATGCTTTTAGTGTTTTAACGATATTCCTCTTCAAAATTTGGCATAAATGCAATTTCCTTATTTTGTGTTTTCTTACTGCCAGTTTCTAACTATCTAAGCAACTGAGAAAGATGCAGAAATTACAGATAAGTGATCTGACTTGCGGTAAAGAGTTCTTACAGAGAAAGCTTAATAGTTTCTACTCTTAAAGTTTTGCAAAGAGAAATCAAATTATAATTTTAAGTATTCAGTATCTGATTTGTAGTAAGAAAATGCAGAACAATTTAGAATACTAAAACTTTAAAGAGTTCTTTAGATTAATGTAAAAGAAATGCAACGAATAAATGGATTTCAATTAAAGTTTCAGTGAAGCTGACTGCCTAATTTGCTTAAATGCTTAAATCAAACAGTATAATAATGATTCCAGCAAATCTGGCATGTCTTGTTTTCACATCAGATGAGAGGCTTGTTTTGGAAGCCATTTAGTTAAGCAAGTTGTTCTTCTGAGGCCAAGAGTAATCAAACTACAGTTTAGAAACCAAGATGCTCAGGAGGTCAGTACCTATTGTTTCCTTTTGTATGAAAATAGTAAAACAAAACCCCACGCAGCTCAGACTCATTTTATTTCTGCTTGTATGGCCTGGTTATGGTGATACATAACTGAATAAAAACTGCATAAAAGCAGGTTCCTCTGACCTGTCTCTAATAATCAGTCCAGAGGGAACCACATTTCCTATCTCTCTTACACAGATACCTTTTTCATCTGTCAGAAACACGCCACCTTTTTGCAATTACAGCTAGCTCCAGCCAGCTCTTTGATGGTAACTGTCTAGTTATAGAATCAAAGGGACAGACCAGGCATTCAAGTAAGTATTAAAATGCTAACATATCCATTCATACAAAGCAAATAAGTCAGATGGCAGTTCATCTCCACAGACACCAAACTCTTAGGTTCCACACTCAGGTTACCTTTGAGCTTGCAAATTCTTACAAAGTTAAACATGGAAAACAAATACTCAGAGAGATAAGGATGTGGCAACACTACGTATCCTCTTATTTAGAAGAAATTAAATGTGCCCTCCAGCTGTTGGCAGCCATGAAGAAAAGTTTACTGCCTGTCTTACTCTGAACTTTTCCCACTGGGAATGTAACAAAGGTTGGGTGGGAACAAAAGCATCCTTTTAGATTTATCATAAAAATTCTGTAGATTATAAATTACTATGATGCAATATTTCTTTCACAGGGTTTCTGTCTCTGAGAAGAAAAACTAAATAAAAATACTTTGAAATAATTTTCCTCAGAATCATTTTTTTGAGGAAAAAAGTCAGCCTGGTCCGACCAGGCTTTTCATTAGCTAAGGTTGTATGAAACTCTATGGTTATATGAAGCATATGAGGTTATATGAGAAGATGTAATTTTTTCCATTCATGGTGACAATGATTTCAGTAAGATGATGAAATCTCGACAAATTGTTTTAGATTAATATCTACATAGCAGGGTTTATATTTTTTTAATTAACCACTGATTGATTTAGATATCAAAATTATCCTGAATTATGAAATGAGAACATTTTAGTTGTTAGAAACTACTTTCTTTAGGCAGATATCTGTATTTTTCTCCTGAAGAAATTTGATATATCACACAAAGACTTTTATAAGTAAGTGCTAAGTTACATTTTCAACAAGGAGAGGAAAGCAGAGAAAGGATAGCCATACATTCTGATGTAGCTAAAGCTCAGCCAGGGGACGACTTCCCCATCACCCCATCCCAGTCTCAGGCCCTTCAGCACTGGTTCCCCCCTCAGATCTGCTGTGTGAATCATCTTCCTTAATGATGTGGGCAAGCTCAGATATATTTCCTATCCTCTGAGTCAAGAAGCCAAAAGGGGAAGGCCCAGTCACCAGCAGGGTACATTTGTCATCACTGGTCCTGCCTGCTGTGAAGCAAAGGCAGAACTGTTTACAGCTTGACTTGTTTTCCTAGCACTATCTTTGCAATATTACTGTCTTATTAAAGCTCACCACGAATTTTAAGTCAGTGCAAGTAATCTGTCTGGTAGACAATTCAGAAATGGGAAAGTGGCCTAAAGCACTCGAATTACTCATGTCTTATTTACTAATTTGGACATGTAGGTCTGATTTGAGACAGTTAAGGCGCATTCTGTCAAATCCAGGCACAAAGAAAAGTCTCCTTGTACTCCAATGACACATTTCAGGGCCAGCTTTCCACACTCTGAACCATATTTTCCAGAAGTTTCCACTCCAGCCATGCATTCAAGATGTTAATTTCTTCAATCTCAATTTTGGGAAGACTAACAGCCTTGTAAACACTGAAAATACTTTTGGAGTGGAAATTCTATATATTCAATTAGCTTTCTCAACTGGAATTATTTCACCCTCTACTGTGTGGTCCAAATTCATGTTTGAAAGGTTATTTATTATGAGTGTCACTTGCATGTAAATAGAACAGAAAGCAGAAAATAGAATCAAATGTGATCAAAGTTTGATAAAAACAGAAACACTCAACCTACAGAAAAGACAGACATTATATTAGTGCACAATTATATAAAAAGGTGGTTAGCCACAGATTAAGACCACTGCAATTAGTTACTGTAAGCAGAACAAAGCCATGAAGCAAAATTCCTGCAGGGAATACTAAAGTTAAACATTAGCAAGGGAACTTCATTCACTGTAAAGAAAGAAACTGCCAAGTTGAATTGCAGACTTGTGATAATTGGCTGGGCCAGACATCCAAGGGTAAATGAGGAGTAATGGAATCAACATCATCCCCCCAACCACCCACATACAAAATACGAGGAAAGAATAAGTAATCTGTTTGCAGCTTCAGAGTGGCAGAGTCAAGATGAGTCACAAAGAAAAAAAAAAAATC